GAGTGCAGTGGCACGATCTTGGCTTACTGCAACCTCTGCCTCCGGGGTTCAAGCTATCCTCCTGCCTCAGCCTCCTGAGTAGCTGGGATTACAGGCGTGTGTCACCAAGTCAGGGTAATTTTTGTTTTTTTAATAGAGATAGGGTTTCACCATGTTGTTCAGGCTGGTCTCAAACTCTTGACCTCAGGTGATCCACCTGCCTCAGCCTCCCAAAGTGCTGGGATTGATAAGGGCGTTGGAGCCACCACGTCCGGCCTTCTTTTTTTTTTTTTTTTGAGATGGAATTTCACTCCTTTGCCCAGCGCTGGAGGCAATGACGACCTCTGCTCACGCAACTATGCCCCCAGGTTCAAGTGATTCTCCTGCCTCAGCCTCCCAAGTAGCTGGGATTACAGGCATGCACCACCACGCCCAGCTAATTTTGAATTTTTAGTAGAGATAGGGTTTCACCATGTTGTTCAGGCTGGTCTCAAACTCTTGACCTCAGGTGATCCACCTGCCTCAGCCTCCCAAAGTGCTGGGATTACAGGCTTGGGCCACCTTGCCCAGCCTATTTTTTTTTTTTTTTTTTTAAATATTAAATCTTTTCTGTATTTCATTTCAATATTAGATACACTGAATACATTTTTCTTTTTTTTTTGAGACTAAGTCTCGCTCCATCGCCCAGGCTGCAGTGCAGTGGTGTGATCTCGGCTCACTGCAACCTCTTCCTCCCAGGTTCAAGTGATTCTTCTGCCTCAGCCTCCTGAGTAGCTGGGATTACAGGTACCTGCCACCATGCCTGGCTAATTTTTGTATTTTTAGTAGAGATGGGGTTTCATCATGTTGGCCAGGCTGGTCTCAAACTCCTGGCTTCAAGTGATCCACCCATTTGGCTTCCCAAACAGCTGGTATTACAGGCATGAGCCACCACGCCCGGCCAAATTTCTCTACTTCTGTACACGGTGCAGTTCCTTAAAACAGCAGGACAAAATAATTCACACAGTGAGCTGGCTTTACAAATTGTACTTCGGTTATATTTGTTGGAAGAGTCAAGCATAGATGAATGGCATTTGGCAGAAGAAAACCTTAGTATATCTGAAACCCTTAATTATACACCGTAGGCAGCTTTGTAGCTTGGTCTGTGTCAAAAGACACCACAGTATCAAATGACACATTGTAGAAATATTCAGAATTTTGCAAGAGCTTGTTCATGAGTGGCATGATTGGCCTGTGTCAGACAGTTAACATCCGCATTTCCACCTGAGTCTGCATTTGAAAACCTGAACTCTCCTGGCCTCTTGTCCAGTTCCTGTGGAGATGAGTCCATTGAAATTGACCACACTCAATGGGACATTTGAGGCCTGTAGTTTGAGGCCACATGTTTTATTTTCAGATTTTGTTTGTAGTCGAATACTATTGCCACACTAGGTGTAAGTTTTATACACAGCTTTTCATGTGTTTTTATTGTATAAGGAATACATGAAAGTCACACATAAATTACATAATTCACATAATACATAAATTAGAAATGCTTTTTTGCATTAAGGAAAAAAAGTCGTCTATAATCTTACTACCCATAGATAATTATTATTCACCTTTTGTGCCTGTCCTTTCAGACTGGTTATTCATATGCACATATCTGTATATGAATGATGTTTTATTTTTCATTTTTAATTGTGGTAAAGTACACATAACATGCAATTTACAGTTTTAACCATTTTAAAATGTATGGTTCAGTGTTGTTAAGTATATGGATTTGTGCAGTCGTCACCACCATCCACGTCTGGAATTCTTTTCACCTTGCAAAGTCAAAATTGTACCCATTAAACACAAAAACTCTACTCCTTTACAGCTTTGCCCTATCCCTACTTTATGATATTGACATCTCAAATTAATACTTATATAATATTGTATTTTATAATATGTTTTAATGTATTATATGTCCTCTTTGCTGAGGACAGCAAAGAGGCGTGTGGAATGAGAATGTCGAGATTGAGGGGATAGGAAATAAACTGGAAAGGGAGAATTTAGGGCCTTGTAGACCATGGTGATGATTTGAATTTCATAAAATTTACTGAGACACTTTTGGAGTATTGACAGCAGAGGAGCGGCATGACTGAGATTGAGAAGAGTCACTTGACTGCGATGTGGAGGTAGACCACATGGGGAGAGGAGGAGACAGGAAGGCACTTAGGGAGCTGTTTCAGTAACCCAGGTAAGAGATGGGGTAGCTTGAACCAGGGTGATGTCAGTGTGGGGCATGGGGTTGGACTCTGGATATATTTTGAAAGTGGAGCTGATAGGATTTGCTGATGGATTGGTTGTGGGGTGGGAGAGAAAGAAAGAAGTCAAGATTAACTTCAAGGTTTTTGGCCTGAACAATTGGAGGGATAAAATTGCCATTTATTCCAGTGGAGATGGAGGAGGAGCAGATTTTAAGTAGGGGAAAATAAAGAGTTCTGTTTCAATCATGCTACATTTTACAATCTGTGAGACATCTAATTGAAGATGTCAAGTAGACAGTTGGATATGCAAGTCTGATGTCAGGGGAGAATATGGGGCTGGAGACAGAAATTTTAGAACCAGGGTATGTGGATGACATTTTGAGCCACGAGATTGAATGAGCTCACCTAGGCCCTGGGAGAGAAGGTAGATGGAGAAGAGAAAGGGGCTGAGTAATGAGCCCTGGGGCATAGCAACAGTTAGAGGTCAAGAGGAGGAGGAAGACCCAGAGGAGGAAATTGAGAAGGAACATTCAATGAAAGGAGAGGAAAACCAAATGGTGTGGTCTCCTGAAAGCCAGGCAAAATAGTGTTTCAAGGAGCTGTAAGTGATAGGTTGTGTCTAATGCACCTAGGAGGTTGCATGTTTTACTTGTCAATATGAAGGTCATGGCTTATGTTTGAGATGAAGCTTCAGACACCAGGGTCTGTGTCTACTTAATGATATGACATGTTGGGGTCTCCTCAATCAGACAATTCTCTCTCATTTTGTTGCTTCATTAATTCAGCGGACATTTATCAGACACTTTCTACGTGCTTCACACTTCTAGGCACAGAGAGTAACCAAAATGAATCACACCACAGCCCTTGCTTTTAAAATAGGTTAGGAGTCCGAGACTTAGATATATAGGAGTGTCAGATCTGAGTCTCGGGATTCTTAGGATTCTTTTCTCATCTATCATATACATTTTTAAATTGGGGCTGTATTTTGTCTACACAAATTATTCACCACATTCTGGAGGAGAACAAAGAGAAGGCAGTTTTTTGTTTGTTTGTTTGTTTGTTTGTTCCCCTTTTGAGACACGGCTTTTCTCCATGTCCCAGGCTGGAGTGCAGTGGCACAGTCATGCCTCACTGCTGCAGCCTCCATCTTCCAGGACCAAGCAATCCTCCCTCAGCCTCCCGAGTAGCTAGGACCACAGGTACACGCCACCATGCCTGGCTAATTTTTTCATTTTACTGTAGAAACAGGGTTTCACTCTGTTGCCCAAGCTGGTCTCAAACTCCTCGGCTCAAGTGATCCTCCTATCTAGGGCTCCCAAAGTGTTGGGATTACAGGCATTAGCCACTGTGCCTGGCCAAGAAGGCAGCTCTTCAAGCCTTCTGACATTCCATCCTGAAGATCTGTGCCTTATTTCTTGATAGCAAATCACCTCTCCTGCTTCTTGATTATCTTTCTAGTTATCGGTTATATAAGAAAACTTTCTCTTCTAACTGAATGTTAAATATCTCATCTTCCAGGAGACAGACATCTAACTTTCTAAATACATTAACCCAATATAAATACACTCCTTCTCTTGGACCCTCAAGCAATGGGTGCTTCTTTCCTGCCTGAGAATAAACAACAGTATTGTTGATGTGGGCTCTGGCCTATGCTTAAATATTCACGCGGTCCCTTTACATTCATAAACCAACAATTTAACAAAATTCCAACAATATGCTATATTACATCGTCGAGTCTTATTTGAAAAAGAAAATCCCACTCAGGAAGAGTTTACCAATTCCTAGGCAGAAATGATACCCACAGGCAGAGCAAGAAGACCTCATAGTTAGGCAAGATCATGAGCAGGTGTGGAGGGTAAGGAACGGTTATGAATGGTTCCTAGGAAGGTCGGGCATTAAGTGGGCTTCAAAAGGAAAAGATTTGAACAGGTAGGGCAAAAGATAATTATGCAAGAGTATTTGATAGCATATTTAAAGATGATGCTGATTGTGATTACAATTTATAATAGGCTGGCCTGAAAAGATGGATTTTTTTTTCATCCATCTTTGGAAAAGATGGATTCATTGCCAGAAGTAATTCATTTTTAACCACGCACACATGAAATCCAGTCATGTATTGAGGGGACTTATGATATAAAAACTCTGAATAACCTTTTTTTTTTTTTTTGAGACAAGGCCTCACTCTGTCACCCAGGCTGGAGTGCAGTGGCACAGTCTTGGCTCGCTGCAACCTCTGCTTCATGGGCTCAAGTGATTCTCCAGCCTCAGCCTCCCAAGTAGCTGCGGCTATAGGCACATGCCACCACACCTGGCTAATTTTTGTATTTTTTATAGAGACAGGCTTTCGCCACGTTGTCAAGGCTGGTCTTGAACTCCTGAGCTCAAAGTGATCCATCCACCTCAGCCTCCCAAAATGCTGGGATTAGATGTGAGCCACCATGCCTGGCCCTCAGATAACCTTTTAGAAGGATGTCGATTATGCATAGTGATGGTGAGGTGCCTTTGAATTTGGAAATAAGCTTGCCTTAATTTGCCTATTTATTTTCATTCATGTGTGAGACATTGAAGACATATCAACACGGATACAATCCCAGTCCTCAAAATCCACAAATGGTGGTGTGGTAAGTCAAAAGCTGATCCTGTACAAGATATCCACAGAAATCCCTGGAACCTGTGAATGTTACCTTATCTGGAAAGGGGGTCTTTGCAGATGAGATTAAGTTAAGGATCTTGAGATAAGATAATTCTGGATTATCAGATGGGCCGTAAATACAATCACAAGTGTCCTTATAGGAGAGAGGCAGAGGAAGATTAGCCTCAGAAGAAATTGTGGCAGCAACGTGACCGTGGATACAGAGACTGGAATGATGAAGCCACAAACCGAGGAGTTCCTAGAGTGACCAGAAGCTGGAAGAAGAAAGGAGTGGATTCTCCCCTACAAGCCTTGGAGGTAGGCCCTCACGACACCTTGATTTTGGACCTCTGGCCTCCAAAACTGTGAGAGAATAAGTTTCTATTGTTTGAAGCCACTAAGTTTTTGGTGATTTGTTTTAGCAGCCAAAAGAAACTAATACAGATGGTATTCATTCTTATGGGAGTAAACACATGGTAAATGTGGATTTGAAAGAACCCAATACTTTAGCCAAGGTGACCTTCTTTGTAAGGGAGGGAAGTCCAGAACACAATTGTCATTTAGTATCCATTTGTTTAACATCCTGTTTAGAGAAAAACTGTGTGGGTGGAAGAGGGGCAATTGACCTGAGAACACAGAGAAGAGAAGCCAGAGAACTACAGATTTGCAGCAAATGTCACCGACTCTGTCAGGCCTGAATTTTGTGGTGGTGGAGACAAAAGCTTTGTTGTGGTCCTGGAGGGGTCACTGGGCTTCCCCGTGGTCTGGATGGATCCCCTCAAGGTGCCCTGCCTCTTTGCTTTGATTCCATGCGACTTACAGTCACAGAGCAGCTTCCAAGTGTTCTGACCCGGGGCCCTGGCAGTGAATATGAGCATTTTCAATACTGGAATAAAAGCCTCCTCTCTTTCTTACACACATACAGATGAATACATTTTCAGCTTGATTTTTATTTCTTGTGAGTCTGATTAGCACAACCTACCTAATCATGCTAAGTTTGACTCAACCTTGAGTCTGACAAAACTTGAGGCCACATCCTGACACTTAGTAAATTTGCCAAGCTAAAGCCACACAATGAAAATTGATACACAGCCTTTGGGTCTTCCAGATACTATCTAATGTCACCATTGATCTCTCTGTGCTACCTCAAGGGACATCACACTTCTCCCTCAATTCAAAATCTGGGAAATGTGTTTATTCAGCAGTTTTTTTTCTGGGCATTTACCTATGATGGTGAACTGAGGAACTGCCAGGGCTGGAGAGTTCCTTCCCTAGAGGGAAGAACAACCTCAACTCCTGTGTGAGTTTCCTGTGGCTGCTGTGTTAAAACACTACCACAAACTGTGTGGCTTAAAACAATGGAAATTTATTCTCTCACAGTTCTGGAGGACAGAAGTCCAATATCAAGGTGCTGACAGGGACGCACTCCCTCCATAGGCTCTGGGGGAAAAGTCTTCCTTTTCCAACAAAGCCAAATTCCTTGACTGTGGCAGCATAAATCCAATCTCTGTCTGTCTTCCCGAGGCCCTCTCTTCTCTGCCCCACCCATAATCACTCTGGGTACCACCCAGGTTATTGCCATCTTGGCATTCATATTCTGAGCTCAAAAGGTCACAGGGGATGTGCATGGTGGCTCACGCCTATAATCCCAGCACTCTGGGAGGCCTAAGTGGGCGGATCACTTGAGGCCAGGAGTTTGAGACCAGCGTGGCCAACATGGTAAAAAGCCATCTCTACTAAAAATACAAAAATTAGCTGGGCATGGTGGCACACCCCTGTAGTCCCAGCTACTTGGGAGGCTAAGGTTGGAGAATCACTTGAATCCCAGAGGCAGAGGTTGCTGTGAGCTGAGATCGTGGCATCGCACTCCAGCCTGGGCAACACAGCAAGACTACATCTCCAAAAAAAAAAAAAAAAAAAAATCACAGGAAGGCAGGTCTCCGTGTTACTCTTCTTCCTTATAAGGATACTTGTCATTGGATTTAGCGCCCACCCTAATCTAGTATGACCTCAACTAATTACCTCTGTAAAGATGCTATTTTTAAATAAGATCACGTTCTGACCAGGCGTGGTGGCTCACGCCCGTAATCTCAGCACTTTGGGAGGCTGAGGCGGGCAGATCACGAGGTCCGGAGTTCAAGACCAGCCTGGCCAACATGGTGAAACTCCATCTCTACTAAAAATACAAAAATTAGCCAGGCCTGGTGGCGTGTGCCTTTAGTCCCAGCTACTCGGGAGGCTAAGTGAATCCGGGAGGCGGAGCTTGCTGTGAGCCGAGATCATGCCACTGCACTCCAGCCTGGGACAGAGCGAGACTCTGAGGTTTTAGGTAGACATGAATTAGGGCGATGGGGGGTGGGCAGTGCAGGGGGACATGAGTCAACCCACTATAGGTCATAAGTCTGGAAAAGATGCTAAGACTAGAGCGAATCTTGATTATAGTAAGTAAATATGAGGTCAACAACAGCACAGACTAAATAGACCTCAATTTGTAAGTGCAAGAGCTATAAGATAGCATAAAGCTTGGCAGTAATTGAGAGGCCACCTTATCTGTGTCAGCAATGACTTAACAGTGATGTTTCCTTTTAAGATCCTTAGACCGGGTGTGGTTGCTCACACTTGTAGTCCCAGCACTTTGGGAGGCCAAGGCAGGCAAATCACTTGAGGTCAGACCAGCCTGGCCAATGTGGTGAAACCCCGTCTCTACTAAAAATACAAAAATTAGCCAGGCATGGTGGCAGGTGCCTGTAATCCCAGCTACCCAGGAGGCTGAGGTGGGAGGATGCAGTGAGCTGAGATCGTGCCACCGCACTCCAGCCTGGGTAAGAGAGCGAGACCCTGTCTCAAAAAAAATAAACAAAAAATAAATCCTAAAGGCACCATTTCTTTTTTTGTTTTGTTTTGTTGTGAGACAGTCTCTCTCTGTCACCCAGGCTGGAGTGCAGTGGCACGATCTTGGCTCACTGCAACCTCTGCCTCCAGGGTCAAGCGATTCTCCTGCCGCAGCCTCCTGAGTAGCTGGGAATACAGGTGTGCACCACCATGCCTGGCTAATTTTTGCATTTTTAGTAGAGATGGGGTTTCACCATGTTGGTCAGGCTGGTCTTGAACTCCCGACCTCGTGATCCGCCTGCCTCAGCCTCCCAAAGTGTTGGGATTACAGGCGTGAGCCACCGTGCCCTGCCGAAGGCACCATTTCAAACTGGGAACAACTACCTGTCCATCGAGCCCTCCTGCCCTCCTCTCATTAGGATTATTTCAGCAGACTGCTTTCCACAGATGGAGCTAGTTCCCATATCACCTGCTGTTCTTTGCTGGAGCGGCCACCTGTCTCCTGGCCCAGGGCCCTCACAGCTTTGTAACTCTCCATGGACACTCCATGGATTTTTTTCTTTTTCTTTTTTTTTTTTTTTTTTTTTTTTAGGACACAGGGTCTTGCTCTGCCACTGAAGCTAGAGTGAAATGGCATGATGATAGTTCACTGCAGCCTCAAACTCCTGGGCTCAAGCAATCCTCGCACCTCAGCCTCAGAGTAGCTAGGACTATAGGCGTGCGCCACTGTGCCCAGCTAATTTTTTTTTTTTTAATTTGTAGAGATGAGGTCTCATTTTGTTGCCCAGGCTGGTCTCCAACCCTTGGCTTCAAATGACCCTTCCACTTAGCCTCCCAAAGTGCTGGGATTATGGGCATGAACCACCGTACCCAGCACCCTGGGGATGATTCTGAAGGCCCCTTTCTCTACTGAGATAGATTTTTCTTCTAACAGCTGCCTCACCTATAATCACTCTCTCTGGTTACCACTCAGGTTATTGTCATCTTGGCACTCAGGGGTGCTGATACTATTTTTTTTTTTTTTTTTTGAGATGGAGTCAAAAAAAAAGGTCACAAGAAGGCATGTCTCCATGTTACTTTTCTCCCATGCTATTGACTATGGACAAGTCATTGACCTCATCTTTAGTTAGCTTAACCTGTGATGCACTCCAGTATTCCTTTCTTATCCTTCCCTTTCCAGTAAGAGGATAATGTGTTCTCTGCCAGAGTATTTACCTTCTGCATCCCCAAACTGCCTTATTTTTTAGTTTATTCATAGGAAACCCTGGAGGTCACATTATGAAAATTAAACCCACCTTTAAGGCAAAAACTGCCTGTATCACCTTGCACTGTGCCTAGGCTCGCTAATGATGATGTTCTAGCCATACTGAAGCAAAACATCTAAAGCCAATAAGAAGGGAATCAAATGAATAGGCTCCCAAGTTGCCCTGGCTCCTTGTGGTTGAGTCTGTTGGACCTAGGTTCTAGTTCCAGGTCAGACACTCACTGACAGTGTAGACCTGGGCAAGGTTCTTCACCTCCCTGAACCTGAGTGTCCATGTCTGTAAATTGGGTCTGTATACTTTGAGATTGTTGTGAAAATTTGGTGAGATGGTGAATATATGAGAAAGCTTCCAACACTACCAGTTACATGGTCACCACACTGCAAATCTGCCCACCATGATCATGGGGACAATCCATGGTACAGCTGGAAAACAGTGCCTATCTGATGGCATCATGCAGATTCAGGAAAATGCCCCCTGGACCACATGACTGTAACAATGCTTCTCCCAACAGTACTATTTTTTTCCTCTAGAGCTTTCCCTATTTTCCCACCCTTTTCTCTTACCTCAAAGGAAGAGTCGTTCTTCCTTTTCAAAACTAATGATCTTTGTATTCTCAATTCCATCCCCCCGACCTATGTCAGAACTGTGTTTCCATGCTTCATCTCTTCATCCTCTATTGGCTGTATTGCCTGAACAAACTCAAGTCATGTCTTTGCTTAAAAACACTCTTCCCACAACCCTGTAGCCTGCTCAAAATACATAGAGTCCCTTTTTCCTTTAGATGTCAAATTTCTTGAACACTTCCAAACTTTATTAATTCAACAAATGTATGTTATGTATGACTGTTTTCATCCATTTTGCATTGCTATAAGGGAATCCCTGAGATTGGACAGTTTATAAAGAAGTTTCTTTGGCTCATGGTTCTGGATGGCACTGGTATCTGCTTGGCTTCTGGTGAGGTTTTCAGTAAAGGTTTTCACTCATTAACAGTGGTAGAAGTGAGGGAAGAAGGGAAAGTGTATTCCAAGAGTTGGTCAGGTAGAGAGAAGAAAATAATATATTATAATGCTTTCAACAGGGTATTATGATGGAGTCAGGCCCTGTATGTTATTGGAGCACAGAATTGCAGCAATTAACTCAGGCTGGGGGGGTGGTGCAGATGTGAAATAATCAGTAACACCTCTGATAGGATGCCTTTACTCATGGCAGAAGGTGAAGGGG